AAGATAACCAAACAAACACCACCTGAACCAAAAAACATCAGATGCCCAAAACAAGGCAATTAAAGATAAAACTGCTCCGCCTATCCATCAATTAGAAGCCGCTACCGCTTTATAGAACTGCTTCCTGATCCTTTTATAATTTTTGATAGACATAGCACACTCCATAGGACAGGATTTCCATTCATGAAAGGAAAAAACACAGCCATTGACTTTGGTTTTAATCCATACAAAGGTTTTAACTTGCATCCTATCCAGCAGGTTTTCTGGAATACCTTCATCTTTACGAAACACTTGAACATTCCTTCTATACCATAAATACCAAACAACCACTAGGAAAATACATGAGCCCATCTCCTTCCCAACTATTCTGCCCAAACCTCCAATGAAAAATTCTGCCACTCCCGCAACTGAGTTAGGCAGAACAGACTCTAAGCCCCACCAACTCAACACTTGAGACCAAGCTAACCACACACTTTCACATACACAAAATAAATGATTAACTTCCTCCACGTTCCCATTACAACATTCGCATAAAACGTGCTTGAGTGATTATTAACCATTGACAATTACATCTATCCCTAATAACTCTCTATACGTGATTGCCTTTGTTTTGATTCTAGCCACAATCATCATGATAGTTAGATGATGATTGATTCCTCTTATGATCAAGAATTTTACCCCTATTCAATTACTTTATGAACTAGGCCGGCTAGATCTCTGGCATAAAACAATGAAAGTTAAACAAGTACCAAAGGGGTGTTGAAGATGTTTAATTATTGTAATAATTAAATCAATTCATCTAGCTATGAAGCATTAAAAAAAAAAAAAAGAGAGAAGATTTATAAATTTCGGGCCGGCCATTGTCAATTTGGTCACATGAATAGCTACAAAACATTACATGTTGACGTCTTTCGCCAAATATTCCTTGTCTATTTTTATTTGGAATCATATGCTTACATTAGATCTGCAATCAATTCAGCTACATATGTGGCCTAACGTAAGGCTTGGAACTTCTTCTTCAATTTTTTTAAAATTAATTATATTTTAAATATAAAAAAATATTGAGAAATTCAGGATGTTTTAATTGACTGATTTCTGTGAACTAATTGTAAATTTCAGAAGTAGGGGTGAGTATTTTTGGTACAAGTTGGTATTTCCTCAAATTCTTAAAATTCTACGCTTAGTACTTAACATGTACCAAGTAATTTATAAATATATATTTATGTACTTGTTAAGATATTTTTTTTAAAACTTTTTTAATTAAAATTTAACAAAATATTATTTACTTTTTAATCTACACTTAAGTAGAACTAGTAAAAATTGAATAAAATATGATTTATTACCATCTAAATTTAAATATAATATAAAATAATAATAGAGAACAAAAATTTAGTTTCATATCCATAACTTAAATTTATGTACTAATAAAAAATAAAATCAGTTAAATAATTAACAATAAAAAATGAAAATATGTACCAAAAAATAAAGAATGAAAATAAATTAAAGATAAAATCCCCGATTTGGTCCTTGAACTATTGTACGGATCCTTGATTTGATCCCTGAACTATTGCATGGATTCCTAATTTGGTCTCTACTGTTTACCAATTTACCTCAAATTGATCAATTCGCACAAAAAATAGCTGACACGTCTCATTATTAATATGACATGTAACCATTAAGTTACTGTTTTTTACTGTTAATTAACAGACACGTCAACTGTTTTTTGTATGCAAGGGCCAACTTGAGGTTAAATTAATAAACAGTAGGGACCAAATCAAGGTCCGTACAATAGTTCAAGGACCAAATCAAGGAATGTTTTAGTACATGGACCAAATTGAGGGTCCATATAATAGTTCATGAACCAAATTGGGGTTTTAACCTAAATTAAATAACAAAATGAAAGTACTTCAAAGAAGATGTTCAGTTTTTTGGATTCATAGTTCCCCTTATCCTTTGTTTCAGTTTGTTAGAAAGGAAAAATAGCCAATGGTATTGTATTTATTTTAACATCCTGATATTTATGCTTTTGATTTACAATTTTTATCATGTTAAATTTAGAGTTTGAATAAAAAAAATCATCTATATAATAACCAAAAACTATGACTCAAAAATCATTAATAGAAAAAGTAAAAAGAAATCTAAAAAGAATCAAACTTTGAAGTTTTATGTACTTACCATTACCTAAGAGTGCAAGAAAGGGCAACTTGGCCTTCTAGACTAACTAGCTTGTAACCACTTTTGAAAGTGCACTTCCATCAATATGATATTGGTTCAAATTCTCTTATCCCCTAAAATTTGAACTTATTCAAAAAAAAA